AATCTCCACACCTGGAACAACACACAAGGCACTTCTTCCCTCCTCTTTGCCGCTTCTGAATCACCTCCTCTAAAACCTCTCTCGTTTCCCCCAAAGTATGGAACTCCTCAAAGCGCTGGCAGCCTCTTATAGCGGCTTCTAAACGTGCCCACTGCCAGCCTCTCCCCCACCAGGTAGGTCACAGGTGGGGGAGGGGGTGGGGGGGAGGGTCCACATGTTCCCATTTTCTTAAGTCTTTTTCTACTTTTGAAAACCTGAAATTATAATGGCTATAATGGCTGTCATATGGCCTAAGAAAAATGGTTTGTGTGAAGAAGCGACTACGAAGTAAGGGGTGGCTATAATCATTCTGTCACGGATACTGTGTAACCTGGGGGAGTGACAACTTCTCACCTCTAAGTGTAGGGAATGAGGGAGTCTATGGGGAAGGTGTGAACGGACAGAGAAAACAATCAGGAAGCAATTAAGTGCTCAACTGTTCAGTAACAACAGGATGTCTGAGAAATGAACTGTTTCCCCAACTTGATAAGTGTGTGGATCAGTAGGGAAAATACTTCTTTCCATCCTCTTTGCTGTAAACACTCACGTTCTTAAATGTATAACTGGTCTTTCATTGGATAATTGAGTTACTTTTATTATACACCCATCTAAGTATACAGGTGTGTCAGCCCTATGCCTTAGCTCTTCTTACATAACTATAAAGTAGAGCAATTCCAAAAACCCAATAAAGACAAGAGAGGAGACCTCAACAGTAACTTGATATCACAGAGCAATTACATAACTTTGTAGATGATACCCAGTTGCTCACAACGTAGTAAATAATATTAGCCAGGTACAGGTGGGTTTTAATTCTGAATAACTACACCACAGAGGCGGGTACCCTTCCTGCTCTGCATTTCTCTGATGAAGTACAGCAGACTCTCATCACCTGACTCTCACACAGCCATGTCTACTCTTTCCCCATTAGCCAATAAAAGGAGTGCTCAGAAGGCTAGGCAATAATTACTCACTTATAAAGCCATCAAAACATCACAGGATATGTGATTTTTTAATAGCTGAAAATAATATCAAAACTTTAATTTGGGTTTAACAAAAGGGGGGGTGGGATTCTTTAAACTTGGGTTAAGAAACGCTGTAATAATAAGTTCCTGCCACAGTATTCAGAAAGATCTTGCATTTCCACTGATCTCAATCCTCAGACTTGGGCTATAAAGTAAGCAGTGTTCTAACACATGCAGAATTAAGGCTGGAGAACAGCATCCAAGACAGAGAATTATGTCTTGAACTATCTAAAATCCCGACATGTGGGCCCCACTGTCCCTTCATGACAAGACCCAGAGAGCCTTGGTAAAAGATAACCAAAAAGCAATATGAACCCAGGTGAAACCAAGGAGGTGGGTACGAGAAACTGAGAGGAAAGATGACATTTTAAGAAAAAAACAACAGACCGTGGTGACAAGATGGGGGGGGGGGGATCTATAAAAGTTAAATGCATGGACCTTGGGAACAGGAAAAATGGCTGCCCCATCCCTGAGAAATGGAACTGCAAGGAGAAAAACCACTTCCAAAGAGAAGATTCAACTGAAACATGGCTAGCTTGTTCTAAACAGGGATGACAGCCCCTTGCGGAAGGTGCTGAAATTGAACTCATAGTCATGGCAAATGTTCACAATGTATAAGAATTATTTCAAAGATGGTCAGAGATGGTGCAGAAGAAATGGAGGACAAAACCTTCCAAGGAAAGACAAGTAATTTTGAAAGGGGCTGACTAGTTTCAACAGGCCACAGGAAAGGGAATTATAATGGCCAAGGTAAGGCAGCCTTCTGATGTCAACACACAAGGAGTCATTAATGCAACAGCACTTGAGGGACCACAATGTACCACACTGTGGCCTAGGTTCACATGGACACCCCTGCCCTTACATAGTGATTTCATCCGGTAGACATACAAGGAACACGTAAGCATAAAATGGTTTGAACTTAGGTCACGGTAAGTGCTCTGGAACTAGAAAACAAATAAGTTAGGGTATGAGAAAGAACGATGAGTGCTGGAAACACTTTCATTGGGCCATCAACAAAAGAATAGTGAAAGGCAAAGAGGAGACAACAGAAAATTCTAGAAGAGTAACTGTTTATCGAGCAAGACCTCCTGGGCACAAGGGTAAGGGTCTCTGCTTACAGGAGAGAACAAAAGCACGCAGGCACTTCGAGGAGGCGAAAGTGAGCCTGTCTTAGGACAGACACCAAAAGAATCTAGGTGCAGGGACAGGTGGAGGAGGAAGCAGCAGACAGACGGAATGACGGCCACCCAAGCAGAGCCAAGCTCAAGATGAGGGCCCTGACCCTCCGCCTGCACTGCTGAGAAGCCACCACAGAGCCGAACCGCTTCTGAGGTCGATTAGGTAAGTGACCAACATGTCTGTGGCTGGTGAGCAGGCTGATGAAGTGAGGTACGCGTCCCACCCCACAGTCACAACATCGGTATTTAAGTCATCAGCCTCCCCACAGGGCTGTGATCAGCTCGTAAGAATCATAGCTTCTTTAATCTCTAGATTCCTAGTAACTAGTAAGTAATGGTACTTCAATAAATGTTTAACAAGGCCAAGTTTAAATCACATGACTCAAAGGGGAGGGACCGAATAGCTCAAGGTTTGATGGATGTGAGAAACAGGAGAGGCCAGGCTCCTCCTCCATGTTCAGCGTGACTGCAGTGGTCTGACACTTCAGTAAATGGGGGAGGCCAGAGACCGCATCTCCTAAGGTGCAGGGCCCTGGGAAAAAAATCACTGCAATTCCCCGACTCAATTTGTAAATGAAAATGCTGGAGCAAATGAGAGGCTGCCAGCCTTTCAGTGGAGCGTAGGTGTCTATCATTATCCCAAAGCCTGTTGCCCAGGTAGAGGGCGCAGGCCTCCCTTTTGGCTGTGCTCCCAAATTGTAGGCCATAAAACATGCGGCTGGTATGGCCACCACACTAAGGACCTTTGAAGCTTTCCATCTAGAGTAGTAACACAGTGGTGAGGAGACAGGAGTTGGAGTTTGGGGCCAGGGGGGACAGAAAGCAATAGTAATGAGCTATGCAGATCTCAAACATGAACAATGGCCAGCCCAAGGAAAAGCTGAATGAAACCAACAGGCTCTCAAGATGGTCGTTCCTGTCTGGCATGTACAAACCCAATGGTCAGGGTGAAACATGACAGAGAGAAATCCATTTTACAGGACCTCAACTTAAGGCTGTGAGAGCAATACTTGTCAATAAACAAGGCCATCCTTTGGTTTTGAAATGTTTATTTACTGTATTTACAGAATGCCATCAGACTGCATTCTGAGCTTCTGAGTTGTCGTTGACCATCTATAGAAATACACGTCCAAAACTCTCAATCTCCTATGCCAAGCAAAATTCTCCAGCATTACAGGAAATCTCACAAACTGCAGAAGGGAATGAAAAGCCAAACCCAAGAAAGCTTCCCATGCCACAATAAAACACAAATAAATACTACAGAAAGCACTGCAAAGTTTATAGTCAAGAGCTTTTTACTAAGTCTTTTAATAACTGCATCTCAAATCCCTTGAAAAGCATTAAGTAACATTTGCTACGTTTCAAAAATTAAACAACTTAAAGCAGTGAGCTTACTATTTAAGTAAAACATAGCGAAGCTAAAAAACCAGACCGTGTGTTTGAAAATGCCTGCAAAATAATACATGCCTGAGGGAACTGGATGGTTTTCCTACTGAATTAAATTAGGGGAGGGGGGGTGCTCTGATCCTAGTGAGGGGTAATCTTCGTGATTACACAGAGGCGGCCATGGGAACCAAGGAAAGTTAATTCAAGAGGAACATCACTTGAGATGGTGAGAAAAACTCTTGTCAGCGCTGAAGATCGTTATCTGTCCGTGTTCCAACAAACTGAAACATCTGACCAGAGCGTCTTTGAAAATGACAGGGCATGAGAGCGTTACCAAAGGACAAACAAGGTATTTGCATTCCAAGGCTCCGGCCTTTAGGCTCTCTCCCCGCCCCCCAGCAGTCTTCCATTTCCTGAACCCTTGGATTGCCACAGGCTTACTGCCTACATACACCTGGGTCTGCGAAGCCTTCCCCTTTAACAGTTAAAACTCAAGTCCTGAGGCAAATTCAAGGGTTAAAAGTTCAGCGTCTACCCCTGCCCCGACCCTCCTAAAAGCACAATCAGCATCTGTCACTGGACAAGTTCGGCCCGGCAGATGATTAATTTTCGTAAACAACTCTGAATAGGTACGGCATCCGTGAGAGATAGGACAGACCCCAGCGAGCTCTGCGGTGGCTCAGGGGGAGGCAGCGGCAAGGCTGACTCGCAGCGGGGGCCACTGCAGACATTGATGGCAGTTCCAACCACGCAACAGGTCCACGCACGCAGTGGCCCAGCGGCGGGCACCTGGGCACCAGCACCAGCTCTCCTCCAGCCCAGCACCCCAATGCCGCCATGGGGCCACTGGAGCCGACAAAGCGCCATCTCTCCAGGGCACAGCCCACAAAGATAAGGCCAGGAGCACATTCCTTACAGATGCCAAGATACAGAGGCTTACTTGCACGCTGCCAGGTCCCAATGTCCTCTGGGACCTGCTTTTAGCCCAAAGAGAGGCGCTCTGGGCCACCGGCCCGGGAACTGGCGGCCAGCCGATCGGCCCTGGGGCGTATGGTCGCCCCCAGCTTGGAACAGTGTGAGCTACCTGGCTTCTCAGCTACCCCGCGTTAGCTCCCAGACGTGGATCCGAGCTACTTTAATGGACCAGAACCTTTCTCCACTCGCCAAGTAACTACTTGTTAAATACCAAGTCTTTCGGTATACACGAAAAAAGAACTTTTATTGGAGGATGGGGCTGGGGAAGCAAGGAGGGAACTGGGGCGGCTGAGTGCAGTGGTGGTTCCCCCGCTGGCCACGGTCAGCCGAAGCGAAGCCGTCGGCGGTGGCGGTGGAGCGCGCGGACCGGGCCGCCGCGCCAGGTGAGGCAGGCACTCACCTCGGGGAGCTCCCGGAGCTGGTTGGCGTCCAGCAGCAGCTCCTCCAGGCTGCGGGCATAGCGGTAAATCTCCTCGGGGACGTAGACCAGCGAGCAGTGGCGCTTGTCGATGGCCTCCACATGACGGTTGCACCGCCACAGGGGAATGCAGTGGAACATCGCCGCCCCCGCCGCCGCCGCCGCCGCC